ATCAGAAACACAAGTCGCACAATTGAAATCGAATGTTTGGCAACTTTCACACTTAAACGGATCTGATGTTGTTGGAACATACGATTCGTTACACCCAGTACAATGTCCATTTGTCGTGTCACACTTTCCTCCACATGTGGCATCACAATATTTACATCTGAAATCGCCAGCGGTTTGTGGGTAACTACCAGCAACACATTTGACACACTTTCTTACAAATAATGGTGAACACGTCACACACCTTGAATCAAAAGCAGTGCAATCAACGCAAACATTTGAAATTGGACTTGTGATGACTTTATTTTCAGTGCATTTGTCACAATTGCCATTTGACGTGTTACACGTGTTTGGTGCACACGATGCTTCACATGGTATGCATTTCCCCTCTGCATTTGGATAATACCCCGTGTTGCATGTGGTACAAGTTCTCTCATAATTGGAGTTGCATGTGACACAGTCGCTATCAAAATCAGAGCATTTTTGGCACTTCAGATTGTTTGTTTCATACAAAACATAGTTGTTTTGGCACCCTGTGCAATGACCGTCCGTTGGATCACAATTCCCTCCACACGTCGAGTCACACAAACCACATTTCATTTCTCCACTTGTTAACACGGGATAATACGTGTCGTTGCATTGAATGCAATTTCGTGTTTGGTTTTGAGCGCAGAATTTACAATTGGAATCAAATGAATCACAGCTTTCACAACCACCTGATGTTAAACTTGTTACATAATTATTCAAACAATTGGTGCATGCTCCTGTTCGTCCATTACATTGATCACATTCACTACTACATGGTATACACTTTTTGGTTGTACTATCAACATAGTGTCTGTTTGTACACGTGTTGCAACCTCTATTGAAAGACGAGTCGCAGATAAAGCAATTTGGATCAAATGCAGTACAAGCAACACAAATGCTTTGGTTTGTATCACCAAAGACCATGTTGTTCTGACATCCAGTGCAAAATCCAGTAGAGCTGTCACACTGATTGTTGCACGTGTCGTCACACTTCTTACATTTGTTTTCAAACACAAAATATCCAGAAACACATGTCACACATTTTCTTGTAAAGTCTGGCGAACAAGTTTGACAATTTGCATCAAAAGACACGCAACTCTCACATTGTAAACTGTTTGTGACAGACAACACATAATTGGTGACACACCCAGTGCAATGACCATTTTTACCATCGCACTGATTTCCACAGGTTGAATCACAATTGGCGCAATTAACACCATCTTTGGGGTATTTGCCGCCTCGACACGTCACACACTTTCTTGAGAAATCTGACGCACACACATCACAATATTGATCGAAAACACTACAATTATCGCATTTGTATGATAGCGGCGATGTGACAACGTAATTTGTAAAACATGTGGTGCAAGTTCCATACATTGTATCACAATTGTTGTCACAAGTAGCATCACAACCGACACAAACCCCATCAACAGAAGGCTTGAAATGGTCATTGCACTCGTTGCAGTATCGCTCAAATAATGTTGTGCATGTTTTGCAATTCTTATCAAAATCTGCACATGGAACACACGCCGTGTTATTCACAGTTGAAGGCACAAAGTTTGTTTGACACGCCGAACATTTTCCCGTTGTGGAACTACAAGTGGTGCACCCGTAGTCACATGGTACACACTGCCCTTGTTTTGGGTAATAATTACTCTCACAAATGGTACAACTTCGTTGTTTGTCTGACGAACATGTATTGCAATTCGCATCAAATGTTTTGCAGGGAACACACACTTTCGATTTTGGATTCTCAAAAACATAATTTGAAACACAACTTGTGCATATTCCTGTTGATGGATCACAGTTGTTATTACACGTCCAACTGCAGTTTTTACACACTCCAGTTATCTCATCGGGATATTTGGACGATTTGCATACCGAACACTGTCGTTCTCCTGCTGCACAAGTGGTGCAATTTTCATCAAAAGTTGAGCACTGCTCACATTTGGAAGGATCGAGTAATGTCGGTACATAATTTGAAGCACAACCAGTGCAAACTCCAGTCACACCATTACAACTCCCTCCACATGATGAATCACACACAACACATCTTCCATTGACTGGATGATAATTGGTGTTGCACTCAATACATTTTCTTGTGAAATCAGTTGCACACGTTTTGCATTTTGAATCAAAATCTGAACATCTCTGGCATGTTTTAGAAGTTGGAGATGTCACAACATAGTTTTGAACACATTTTGTACACAACCCGTCATTTGTATTACATGTGTTTGTTTGACAAGTTGTATCACATGAAATACACTGTCCTGTTGTACCTGGATAATACCCCGCCATACATGTCACACAACTTCTATTTCCACCATTTTGACACGTTTCACATTTGTTATCAAATGATTTACAAAACACACACACTCTTGATGGGGAGTCTTCAAACACGTTTTCTGATGCACACAACGTGCAAATACTAGTTGCTGAATTACACCTTGTGCAATTTGTCGCACATGAAACACACTTTCCACTGTTGTTTGGATAAAACCCCGTGTTGCAAATTAAACATTTGCGACTGAAGTTACTTGCACATAAACCGCAATTTGAATCAAACTCACTGCACTTTTGGCACACTCCCGAAGGTGGAATAATAAAAACATACTTTGATGCACACGAAGTACAATATCCAGTATTCCCATCACATTTGTAATCACAAGACGCATCACATTTTGAACACTTTTTGTTATCAGAAATATAATAAGTGCTTTTACACAAAGTGCAACTTCGTGTTCCATCAGTGGCACAAGTCTGACAATTGGTATCAAAAGAAGAACACAACTCACACGTTAGAGATGGTTGATTGAGTTGTGGGACATATCCACTCACACACGTTGTGCAATATCCAGTTGACGAGTTGCATCTATTTGCACAACTTGAGTGACACTGTTGGCACGTATATGGTGATGTCTGAAGTGGATAAAATCCCGTTGAACATGTTTGGCATTGTCTGAGCGTTTGTGAACACGAAATACAATTGGGGAAAGCAGTTGAGCAACTGTCACAAATTTGGTTGTCTGAAACAGGTTTTGTAAATCCACTTGCACACACGGAACACTTCCCAGTTGTTTGAGAACACATACTACATGACAAATCACAATTAATACATTGTTTATTGGTATTTGGGTACATTCCAGAGACACACTGATAACACTGCCTGTTCGGTTCAAGGCAAGTTTCACAATTACTGTCGTAACTATTGCACAATTCACACTTTGTGCTTTCTGTGGTTTTCAAAACGTATCCAGAAGCACACGTGGTGCATATCCCCGTTCCCCAATTGCAGTTGCCACATGTTGAATCACATATTGTGCAAATTTGACTGTTGTTATTATAGAAATGATCAAAACAATTATTACATTTAGTTTTGCCACTTTGTCCAGAATTACAACTTTTGCATCCAGCACCACACGATAAACATCCATTATTAACCAAATAATAACCACCATCACAACTTGAACATTTTAAATTCCCATTATAATCTTGGTTACAATAGGCACAATTAGAAGAACACTTCTTGCATATTTTATAATATCCTTCTTCTTTGAGGTAATACCCATTGCTACATGAATAACACGTTTTGTAATGATTTTGACTGCAACTTGTGCACCCCTCCATATATCCACATGGAACACAATTGTAATAATATGGAAAATATCCCGGGTTACATTGACTGCACCAATATTGATTTTGATAAATTGCACAATTTGTTGCTTTTGGATAACACTTTCCATCATAAAGTAAATAATTTTGTTTACACGAAATACAATAATTTGTGTCACTATAAGTTTGACAATTTGTCGAAATACATTGACCGTTTTTGTTCCATGAAGAAAGTCCACTATCTCCACAAATTGGAAGACAGTTAGTGTTATTTTGAAGAAAACATTTTACAATAGAACCACCATCACAACTTGAAACTTGATAACCATCTTCACAACGATAACAATCGTTTCCGTTGTAACTAACACACTCTAAACAGTTTTTTTGTAATGTTGAACCACATGTGATATCTTTTTTATTGGAACTTGTTTTGAGATAACTGTATTGTCTCACCCAATTTGAATTGATTTCAAAAGTCGAATTGTTTACATTATCAAAAACCTGTTTTGTGTTTAGAAATGTGACTTTGGTGTTGTTAAGGGTAAAAATAAGTTCACTAATACTATCATCATATATAATTTGCATTTCTTTTAGTTTTAAACATTTAATTGTGATTTCATCATATTGAAAGTTGTTCAATAACACGACACCATGATTATCAACAACTTTGTGTTTGGTATTGTTGGTATCACAATCACATTGAATTTTATTACCCACTATACACCAACGAGATGTTGTAAGTGTTAGTAATAACGACGGTATCAATATAAACATAAAGACTTGTTGTATTATTTGAGTTTAAAAAATTGAATATAAAAAACAAATGTATTTATATACTTTTTTTTGAAAAATAATAAAAGGAAGTTTTATTGTTTTTTAATTATTTCAACAAAAACACTGATAATTATGTAATGAATTTAATAAATAAAATAACAAAAATATAATACAAAAACAATTAACAAATAGCATAAACATTTTAAAAGAAATGTAACAATGTAACAAATGTCTTATTTTTTGATTATTATAGTATCATTAATTATTTTCAAATTATCAATTTAAAAACATAGATACACAATTGGATTAAAACTATGTTTATATTTATTAATTAATTTAATATAGTAATATATAAAAATTGGAATTTTTCTTGGTGTTATTAAAAAACAACAAATAAAAATTAACATTAAAAAATAATATTATATACAAATCAAGTTGTTTAATTTATTATCATTCTCCATTGGACTATTTAGAAACAGAGAAATTGTAATTAATGTCGTGAGCAATATTAATTTGCATCACAACAATTTGGAAACAGTTTAATAGTCAAACTAATTATTATCATTTTCAATAAAGTAGACAACAAACATTTCTTAGCCAAATTCTTATTTTTTTAATTTTTTAGATCAATTTATGTTGAAGCTCTTATATCAAAGATAGCTATTACATATCTTATTATAAATCAATTACAACACAGAATCATATTTTAGTTGAGCAAACAAATATTTATATTAAAATAATGATAATATAAATTAATATAGTCTGTAATTATTTGGTATAGTTATAACATAATAATCGATTTGTAAAAAAAAATAAGACAATCCCACTGTAATTGATGGTACTAAATCAGTTTAATGTCATT